CTACGGTGTAACCGCCTAATCACAACTACTGCTACTTTGAGTGAGTAAGGCAGTTACTGAAATCACTACTGAAATACTGAAGGCAGAAATCGTGTCTAATATGGTTAATGTCGCAATAATTGCCTGTGAAGATATAGAGATAGTCTGGTACCACGCCGGCGAATGGTGAAAGTCGTGCGTTCCGACTACTGCGCATGCGCATTTACGAACGTGGCTTTAATTAAATGTCTCTAAAATGAAAATGTTTTCCTAACAAATGTCGCCACCTATTTCAAACCATGACAGGCAGAAGCTAGGTATCAAAACAAACATATCCTAAAAATTTCAGCTAAATTGGTTTAGTAGTTTCCGAGTCTATAGGTAATAATAAACAAACACACACACATTGAGTTTTATATATATAGATAATTTCTAATACAGATTACAATAGCCAACCTTCAGATCTCCGGAAATGTTGGCACCTGCCAATATACCAGTGGCAGCAGGGAAAAAGACAGCAAATACACTGAAAAAGGTTTGATCAGATTCATAGTCCGACATTAAATTCGTCACAAATATTTTCTCTGGGGAATAAACAAAAAAATAAACATGTCACTGTGTGAAACAAGAGCAAATACAAATGTTTGAAACAAGAGCAAATACAACTGTGTGAAACAAGAGCAAATACAACTGTATGAAACAAGAGCAAATACAACTGTTTGAAACAAGAGCAAAGATAACTGTGTGAAACAAGAGGAAATACAACTGTGAAACGAGCAAATACACTAAGTGATTTAATTAATGATGAGAGAAACATCTGTATCTTCTTCTTTTTCCTTTTACATCTTCCTGCAACATCAGGGAGCTAGGCTCTCTGTAAGTTAGGCAATTTTAAAGGATGTGTTCTAGTTCTGAAGGGTCTTCTTCTTTTCTCTACTCCTGGTATGCCTTGTTGTGTCAGGGCAGGAAGAGATCTCTGGAATGGACTCTTTTGTTCCCTTTGTATAAAGTACTTTTCAGTGTCTCTGATATTTCTGCGGTCCATAATCTGTGTGGTCGATCTCTGGCTCCGTTACCGCTGTAACACTGCTCTCTGTGGCGCCCCCTGTCTGATGCCATTCTGAAGTGTAGATACACACAAATGTTAGATTTGCAGGTAGACTTGAAGGCAGTTTAGGTGATTCAAGTAGTGTATGGCCCCACTTCATAGCTATGACTGGTTTCATTCTGCCACTACACCTGGTGAATTAGGTTAGGCCTGTTGGGTCTATCTGCATTTTCCACATAAGATTTTTTCATTGTTTATTATTTTAATAAAATTTTTTTACATCTAGTGTGACAAAGAGGTGGCTGAAGTATCACTTCTTGCTATAACTTTAAGCAGGGAATCAGTTTACCCATTCCAAGTATAATTACACAGCAGCAGGCAAGCAGCCCCAACGGAAGGCATGTTTTCTATACAAACTCAACAAAGGTACAGTAAATTTATTTCAATCTAGCAACTTCTTCTTCTATGCTTGTCTTTAAATGGGCGGATAACACGCCGTGATGTGGTTTACAGTTAATCTGCGTCTTTTAGCCCAACACCCATTTTCAGTATTGGTAACATTTTATGTTAAGCTTGTTAGAGCCACAGTGGGTCTATTCTCCCCCCCCCCCTCCCCCCGGGCCCTTAACTCTTTGAGTCCCAAGGAACGCATCACACGTTCATAGGTTACTGTCTAGAAGCCCAAAAAACGCATGATGCGCTGATTTTAGTCTTTTTTGATACCCCTTGGGCCTGTGATGCTAAACCCTCTGGGACTCAAAGAGTTAAACAAATAAAGGGAGAAACACTTGACACAAGAAAGACAGAAAAATTAATCATATTTTGTCCAGTAAAAAAGATATTGCTTTTGATCAATTGGCTGAACATAATTTTTTTTCTACTCATGAAGATAAGTGACTGCCCACATCAGTAGGGTAAAATCTACAACTTTGGTTATGTTCTGAGAAGGAGAAAACCAGAGTACAATGTGGTGGCAGGAAAACTGAAAAGGAAAAGGTGAAAAAACAATGGGTCAGCAAGCATGCAGTTACTGAGCTGATTCTGCTTTTACAAAAACATTTTAACTGAAAGGGTTCCACATACATATTTTAACTGGTGCTTTCTATGGTAAGTGATATGTCTTCACATATACTATTTTACATGATTACCATGTGCCGTGATAACATTGTTTTTACAGTTTCTATCCTTGAGATAAAGACGGCTGGTGTGATACTGACCACATCACCTACACAAAAGGCTGAGCAGTCTGTAAAAATAGAGTCTAGAATCATTTTCCTGATGCACCACTGGCGTAACATGGGTCCTTTACTTTACTTCTATCCTTGGAAATATTTCCCCCGTCTGTCTTCTGGGGCACCACTGTGGAGATGTCGCATGTCAAAGCAGTCGACAAATTGGGGACTTTCTTTAAAGTCAGAGTGCAGCAGCCCAAGCGGCAATAAACAACTAACTGCACACAAATAAGCCAGTAAAACTGATGTACATGCAAAACTCAGGTCCTGGCACAAAGCTAATGTTGAAATGGACAAACAAGCAGGACTTTCCACCAGAGCTTACAGCCGGTGAACAAAGAAGAAGAAGAAGAGAAAAGGAAATATTTGTTATCTACATTACAAGATTAGGCTGACCCCAGCTTGGTATGTGATCATGAAACTAACAACACCAGCAATTTAATCATGTCACATATAAAACTGTAGAAAAGTGGCAGTTTGACATAAATTAGAAGAGATTATAAACCGGATCGCTGGTGTGCTACTGGGGCCCTTGGGGGAAGCAAAGAGTAGTAACACTGCATCTTATTAGGCATGTTATTAGAGAGAGTTGTAGGGTCAGAAGCCTTCCCCTGCCAAAAAAAAAAAAGCTATGGCTGCAAAAGCAAACCAACTGTGAACAAGTCTAGAAAAAAAAAATATACCATCAACCAAGAATGATTCACCAGGGCATTTGATAATATTTCCTGGGAAGGAATTGTTGAGTGTTTAAAAAAAAAAAATTATTAAAAAAAATTAATTCAGTAGCGCCAAAAAAAAAAAAAAAAGATTGGGAACCTATCTGTTAAACCAACATGATGAATTATGAAAAGTATGTCCAGAATGTAGGGAACAGCTGTACTAATCTTTAACAACTGGGCAAAATAAGGAAAGTAGAAACCAGCAGTACAAACGTGTAACAGGGGTACATGAGAGTCAAGAATATCTGCACTACATTCTAGCATGCATGTCCTAAGCATGCTTAAAGGGTTGGCATGAAACTGGCTCTTATAACATTTTGCTCCGGCTTTCCTGTGTGGGTTTCAGGACCCCAATTATGGGGGAGGGTAAAAGAACAGTTCCACTGCACCACTATCAAGCACACCATAAAAGTCGACTAAGTAGGGGTGTTTCCTTCAAAGTTGGAATACATCTGCCGAGGAACAAGGAACCAAAAGTCTGCATACAAAAAAAAACCAGATTTGTAAAATGGAGGTGCATGCAAAACTCAAGTTCTAGATGAAGACCAAAGTCCAGATTTGGATAAACAACCAGAACTTTCTGATAATTTATAGCCAGTGAGCACAAAGAAGAACAACAACTCTGGCTGCAAAATCTAACCAATCAGGACACTACCAGAGGCTTAGTGTGAGTTGGTTGAAGGCCTTGGTGCCATTTGGAGCTGAGAAGTGTAGAAAGAAGAGAAGGATAAATAAAAAGAAGAAAAGATGAAGAAGAAGAAGAAAGAGGAAGAGGACCAAAAAAAAAAAAAAAATAAGAAGATGCAGATGAAATAAGAAGAAGAAGCTAAAAGTAGTGAATGTGTTTATGCTAGGACCTACTCACCATGAAACCCCATGAAACCTCTGGAGTACTGTTCAGCACTGGGAGGTATGAATAACCCCACAAAGAAGTTTACAATGGCACATGTTAAAATAGCTAAAAGAACCACCTGTGCCTGTTTTCACAGAGGAAACAAAGTTATTTGTCATTAATTTATTAAACAAAATATTCATTTATCTATCAAGTAAATCTCTTAGGAAACAGACACAACATGAGATCAGAGCATACACTCTCCTACATGTGCCTGAATGCAAGGTACTGTCAAAAACACTAACGACTACTGCCTGTATTTATCACTTTTGAGGTGTAGGCAGAGGTGAGCAGTTTAAGCCGAGGGTTAAGGGCTGCATGGCTAGTACTTTTGCCACAGACTGTACAGGTTAGGATTTCAGTTTTTGTCTTTGACAGAAAAAAAAATCCACTGCCCTATCGAGGATTTGAACCTGGGTCTCCGCAGAAGGGCCCAGCATTCTTAACCGTTCAGCCAGCTGCTCCTCCTACTATTCTGTTAAATGTAAGGTATACTGTAGTAATACAGTGTAGACATTACAGGGGCATTACTAATTATAATTTTGTATGAGGCTGAAAAGGGTATTTAGGATTGTCCTTTTAGACTGACATCGGGTCGCTGGGGTGTCCACCTTCGGTTAGCAGCCCAGAGGGTAAAAACAGTCAGTCGGATAAGGATCATGCACTAAATGTTTAGCAGTACACACATACTGAAAGATCAAGCAACAAAAAATAAAAATTCTAAATGACTTTCAATATTGGAAACTTGAGGGAATGCAACTGGCTAAAGCTTAAAGGTCAATGTAATTCCATGGCAGAAACTGCCTCTAGCATTAATTAAAGTAAAGCTAAATGTAACTGTGTGGCAAGGGTGTGAAGTGCAAGTAATCAATGTGTCTCCTTCCCAGAAAACTTTCAGAAAATCATTAAAATGATTCAGTACCCTTATGATTAGGCAAGGTTAACCAAGAACTTTACTGTTTGGGGAACACATTCGGCTTACAGGGATCAAACAAGGTCAGTGTTTTGGTAAAAATGAATGACTCAAGAATTGACATCACTGCACTAAGTGCATTTCCACATGTGCTCCATCCCCTCCTTCAGTAGCCAACACAGTTTCCATATGATTGTGAATCAGTCTCTCGAGGTTATGGGTATTCTTTCTGTACCACTGCACTGTCCAAAGCCTTCACTATGTCCATTTTATCATAAAGTAGTTTACTGCTCAGAAGGCAATGTAATGTCAGTTTTCTTTTTATAATAAATCTATTCATATACTTCTGCAGTCAAGATACTTTTTATCCATTATTACATGGATCCTCTATTCTTTCCTAGAGACAGAAGTAATACTAATTTCAATATTAGCAACTTGTTGACATTTACTGGAAACTGTTATTAGATGACTGAATAAAAATAAAACAATCTATGAAAACATTGTGGTTAGAAGGGCAGAATGCTAGGTGGGCCAGTGTCATCAATTGTTAACCCTTTAAAAATAAAGTTAATTCATTGTTCTTCTTTGTAACCTGGGCTATCCTCCGAATAACGGTCCTAAATTATCGAGGCCTCAGTCACGTGTCAATAGCGCTAAAGGGACTATACCGCCACTGCTGATTGGGGCTAAACTAGATGGCTGGGACTCAAGAGCAAATAAAATGAAGTAAGCTGCAGGAGATGCGGTAGCTGCTGTTTGTGAGTCCCAGCTATCTAGTTTAGCCCCAATCCACGCCGCACGAGCGGCGTGGGGGATACTCTTGGCGGTGGCAGAAGTCGGCAGAAGTCGCCCGAAGTGTGCAATTTAAGACGATGGAAGTGCGCAATTGACACGCGACTGAGGCCCTGTTAGGGTATATTTTCCACCTCGATAATTTAGGACCGTTATTCAGAGGATAGCTGTAGCCTGATGTGGAACAGGCATCAGTGACCATCAATTCTTTGTGATATGGAATATTCTGATGAAACTGGCACTGTTTAAATATTTTGTTGTTGCCCAGCTGCTGAAACTTTTCACAGACATCAATGTCAAGTCTTGACAGTTTCTAAAAAACAAAATAATGCCTGTCTTAATATGGAATCAAATACATCACCACCAGACCGAATGGCAAGCATGCTAACCACAGTGCTACAACACCTTACCAGTTGGCACTTTTCTATCTTTCCAGATGACAGTGTTCCACTGCGCTACAGGAGGTAGGGGTGTGTGCTATAGGAGGTACAGGAGTCACAGCAAATAGTGATACCAATTAGGACCAGAGAGGAAGTTCCTTCTCTCCAGCACAAAGCCTAGGAATTACTGTAGAGACCATGTGTTGTCCATTCAGAGTGATCTCTCTCTCAGCCAGCACTGTTAACTCTAGTAGAAAGGAGCATGTTAACTCCTGTAGAAAGGAACATAATACCAGTTAAGGCCCGAGAGGATGTTCCTCCTCTCCAGCACAAAGCCTAGGCATTACTGTAGAGACCATGTGTTGTTCCATGCAGCAAGATCCCACTCTCAGCCAGCACTGTTAACTCCAGTAGAAAAAAAAACATGAATGTGTTTAGAACAAAGCTTGCTGCAAAAGCTGCCTGGTCAGAACAGCAGTGATGTTTCCTCCTAGACCAGCTGCCAACCAAGGCCGTCTGGCCTACAAAAACTTTACATTTTCAGGTAGGTTCCTTCATCCTAGGATAAAGCTATTATCCTCACCTCCATTTGAAGCTGTTGACACAAGTAGGATGTCACACAAGTGGGATGTCACACAAGTAGGATGTCACACAAGTAGGATGTCAGGTCTGGTATATGCCACCTAACATTTGGCTTTATCAGAGAACAGGTGGTATCAACTACTGTTACATGTAGCTTAGTCATATCTGACCAAGACCTAACTCATCTTCCCATCAATGAATAAGGAATTAAAGTTATGAAAGCATCACTTACTCTGGCTTCCCAGTTCATGCCCACTAAAGCTATAGCCAGGAGTATGGTTATTGTAATGCTTCCAATAATGCGAACATCATTCAAGTCGTCGACCATCATGGCATCGTAGCGCTGTGAACAGATATAAATTTGTTACATCTATATTAACAGTAAGAAAGTGAATCTTACACAATCAACAGAGTAGTGTAAATTATGTGTAAGGTACAGATATGGTTATATACGAATGATGACAGTATTATGAAAAAAGTGTAGTGTAGATGTTTTGAAAGATATTAACTCATGAAGAGAACTGATTACCCACAATAAGAGACAATCTACATTGTTTGGTCCATTCTGAAAAAGGAAAACTAGCACATTATGACAATGAAAAAGTTGGAGAGGAAATGAAGCAGAAGGTGGCTAAAAGAGAAAATGTTGGACACTTTGGCATCACGACATGGAGGATCATCTGTGTTAAAAATCGACTGAAAGTAAATAAGACTGAAAGTGCCAACAGATATGACAAACAAAAGCCACAAGATGCGAATTATAGGAAAGAAACAGATATTAACAGTAAGGAAAGGCAGAATGTCTGGAAGAAGAATCAACAAATGTCTGGAAGGAGAATCAACAATCACCTAGCACAATGCTGAACACAAGACAATAAGAGACGCTGTGGGCATGGAAATACATGCGGCAGGGGCACTGGCATAGAACCAAGTGAAAGATAGTGCACAAAAAACTTGCTACATTATGATAATTATATCCATTTATATACAAATAAACCATAATTATCTGCCTTCCTTCCATGTTGGTGAGGATGAGCAATACAAAATTGTGAATAGATCACTACAGTGTGCAGAGAATGGATGGGATCTGGCTGACACTCTACTCTTAGAGGATAGGCTAGACAGACAAAAAACCAAACTGCTACTGGTACCATTGGCTGTTAGAGCTGGAGATAGAGACTTTATGGGAACACTGGTTGCTGTGATGTCAGTTCTCAACTCACTTTTCCCTGTGTGGGTTTCGGGGTTCTATTGTAGGGAAAACAAGAATAGACCCACTGCCTCCCCAAAAGCATGTCGTAAGAGTCGACTAATTGGGAGCTTCCTTCGAAGATGGAGTGCATCTGCCTGAGAGGCAAGGAACCAGCAGTCTGCATACAAATGAGTCAGATCTGTAAAACGGATGCACACGCAACACTCAGGTTCTGGAACTGGACTGCAGTCCAGAAGTGGATGAACAACCAGAACTTTCCGCCAGAGTTTATAGCTGGTGAACGTGAAGAAGAAGAAAGAAGAACTCACTTCAAATAGGTGAATATGAAGACTATTATTTAACATAAGTAAAGTTAGTCCATAATGTGGCAGATACTGGCCTTCTGTAAAGTGTTTGGTATTCACATATTTTAGGTCACGCAAAATGTGTTGTGTTGTCTTTCCCTATCTCTCTTTCCATAAATATTTTGTTTCCACAACATATTTAAGTTTTTTCTTCTCATAACTTGGTTTAAAAAAAATGAACGCTGTCTCTGTCTGATTTTTGTGTGATACCCTATCTGTAGGTGTACACACTGTGCTTGTTCTCAAAATATGCCTTAAAATTAGGTTGGGTCTTAAACAACAAATGTAAGCATGCAGGCATTGTTTTTTTTTTTACAGCTGCCCATGATATATAAAAAAGAAAGATAGTAAGCAACATTCCTACACCACAACTTGTTAACTCCAGCTGATATAAAAAAAGATAGTAAGCAACATTCCTACACCACAACTTGCAAACTCCAGCTGATATAAAAAAGATAGTAAGCAACATTCCTACACCACAACTTGTAAACTCCAGCTGATATAAAAAAAATAGTAGGCAACATTCCTATACCACAACTTTTAAACTCCAGCTAATATAAAAAAAAAAAAAAAAATTAGTAAGCAACATTCCTACATCACAACTTTTAAACTCCAGCTGATATAATATCCTAAAGAACATGTTAACAGGTCAGCAGAACTTCATTTCAAACCACCACCGATGGATAAAACCATAAGACTCTGGTGGTCTCAAAAGGATGCTTAGGCAAAATGAACAAAGGAAAACGTGCACAATGTGAAAAATTGCAAAATGGCTGAAATTAGAGACATGTATTCTTCTTCTTCCCGTTCACCAGCTGTACACTCTGGTGGAAAGTTCTGGTTATTCATCTACTTCTGAACTGCAGTCCTGCTCCAGAACCTGAGTGTTGCGTGTGCATCAGTTTTGCAGATCTGATTCACTTGAATGTAGACTGTTGGTTCCTTGCCTCTCAAAATTTCCTTTAGTGTTTGGGGTGTGTCTTATACATGGCAGCATCTTATACATAGACAATTATGGCAAGTTGTCATTCGGTCTTCATCTCTCAAAGAGAGAAATGTATATAAATAGGTTTAATTTTCCTTACAGATTAAAAATTGCCCCCTTAAAAAAGCATGATAAAATGACATCATTATGTTCTGTGGACCTCATGTCATAGAGTTAGCCTTCTGGTCAGTCTCTCACCTTGAGGATATCTCTGACCGTCTCTGAAAAGCCCACCACATACATAGCTACTGCAACTGTGTTGGCCACTGAGAAGATGACACCGATAGCACCCCCAAATTCTGGACCCAAGCTCCTGGAGATCATATAGTATGCTCCACCTGGTGACAAAAAAAATTTTTTTTTTAGGTTCATAATTTAAAATAAAAAATTACAGGACTGACCTGATGAGATCACTGAGCATGATAAGAGAGGTGGAGACAGATATGCTCCATGCAGATAGGCAAGCATCATTTTAGAGGTCCTGGGCAGTTAGCTTCCTTTGGATATTTTCTCCAGGGTAGACCAGTGTGCTGGGAAATGAATAGGCAGACTGGGTGGTTCTGCACCATTGGGAGGTGAAGTGATGCACGTTGAGAGTTAGATGCTGTCAGGGCCTTTTTGGAAGCATGTAAACAGTGTGTAGGCACAAACAGGTCATCCAGGTCTAAACAGAATGGTGCAGTAAGAAGTGACTAGGGGATCTGGCTGATGCCCAACACTCAGGGGAGGGGCAAGATGGACATACAATCAGATTACTACTGGTACCATCAGAACCTGAACTCTGCACTTGCTGACACAGATGGGGATGGAGCATTTACGAGAATGTCCTGAGTGCTATGATGTCCGTTCATAACTCATAACTTTACATTAACAGAGTCACTGGAAGACAAACAAATATATACCTGGAAAAAGCAAAAGCAAATTTGGACAAGATCACAGACCTGATCTGAGACTGTCTGGCCAGGTAATCCCTCCTCATGCGGAGGATGTATGTAATGTAGGAAACAAATCCCTCCTCACCCTCAGGATATATGTAGTGTAGAAAACTAATCCCTCTTCACCCTTTAGGATTTATGTAGTGCATGAAACTAATCCCTCTCCACCTTTAGGATAAATGTAGTGCATGAAACTAATCCCTTTCCACCTTTAGGATATATGTGGTGCATGAAACTAATCCCTTTTCACCTTTAGGATATATGTAGTGCATGAAACAAATCCCTCTCCACCTTTAGGATATATGTAGTGAATGAAACAAATCCCTCTTCAACCCTGGAATGTATGTAGTCCTTCCTCACCTCTATGATATACATAGAGAAAACAAATCCCTGGGTAGTATGTAATGTGGCAATCAAATCCCCCCTCACTCTTGGGATTTACATAATCTAGGAAACCAATCCCTTCTCACCCCTAGGATGTACACAGTCTAGGAAAAAAACCTTCCTCATGGGAAATATATATATCTGGGATTTTAGCAACAATACTCCCTCACGGGGAAAAATGTATGCAGTTTTAAATTCAAAAAAAACTAGCCTTCCCCGGGAAATTTTGCGCTAGGATTCAAAAAAACAATACTTCCCATCGGGGAAATGTAGCGCTAGGATTAAAAGAAACAAGTCTTCCCATCGTGGAAATTAGCAGTTTTTTCAAAGAAAAAATTTTCCCTCACGTGGAAATGTATGCAGTCGGATTCAAAAAAACAATATTTCCCCTCATCGTGGAAATGTAGCGTCTAGGTTTCGGGGAAAAATCCTTCCTCAGTGGAAATGTTGCATCTGGTTTCAAAAAAAAAAGTCCTTCCTGTTTTGGAAAGTATGCGTCAGGATTAAAGGAAAAAGCCTTCCTATCGTGGAAATTTTGCGTCTGGGATTCAGGAAAAAAGTCCTTTCCCTCATCGGGGAAATGTATGCGTCTGGGTTCAAAAAAAAATCTTCCCTCGTTGTGGAAATGTTTCTCTAGGATTCAAAAAAACAAGTCCTTCCTCTCGGGGAAAAGTATGCAGTCTGGGATTCAAAGAAACAGTCCTTCCCTCATGTGGAAATGTTGCTCTAGGATTCAAAAAAAAAGCCCTTCCCGTTGTGAAATGTATCAGTCTGGGATTCAAAAAACAAGCCCTTTCCCCACGTGGAATGTAGCAGTTTTGGATTAAAAGAAACAAGTCCTTCCCTCTCGGGGAAAATGTTGCAGTCGGGATTCAAAAAAAACAGTCCTTCCTCACGTGGAAATTTCTCTGGATTAAAAGAAAAACCCTTTCCCTCACGGGGAAAAGTATGCAGTCTGGGATTCAAAAACAAGTCCTTCCTCATCGGGGAAAATGTATGTATCTGGATTCTGGGAAATAGTCAATCTGGGAAAAAAGCTTTCCCACTGGGGGAAAATTTATTTGGTCAGGATTCAGGAAAAAAGCCCTTTCCCCTCATCGGGGAAAATTATGTATCTGGATTCAAAAAACAAATTTTTGCCCCTTAAAAATTGGGGGAAAAAACCCCTTCTAATCTCTATGATACACAGTTTATAAAAAAACCTTCTCCCCGGCTCTATGTAGGCGGGAAACAATCTATCTGTCCCCTAGGATGTGGTTGCCTAGAAACAATCCCCCCCAACGGGGAATTTAACTGATTCACAGTTGACTACCCATAAAACTATACACCCCCCTGTCCTATATACAGCTGGTCCAAATAAAAAACAAAAAAAGAATGGCCGGGGGAGACATTTAAAGTTCTTCATAAAATCCCGCTGCTTCAGGCAGGTAAAAAATTATTGCTTGGGTCCCCAGTCGTTTTGGGGGAGAACAATCCATAATT